ATGAAATGCCAAGTAAAAGGGCTAAATGCCAAAATGGTAGCACATTAGGTATTATATAACAAAAGCAGGTCAAATGACCTGTGTGTATATATATATATAAACATTTATATATATAAACAAGGCAATAAAGCTGCTAAGACACAATGGGTTACTGAGTGTTAGAGGATATGAGTAAAAAAAGAAGTCACTATTAAGGAGAGAGAGCAATAATTGTAAACATTTCTTACTATTAACTCATTTTTAAATTACCAATATGATAGGTACTATATTTTTCTTCCCAATGATTTGTTCATAGTTGGGACATTCTGCTTCACCCCCCCCCCACACACACATCTTCTCTCATAGTCAAAGTTTACATGATTTTGTATTGGTAAACTCCAGACACTGGAATCTACTTTTATCTCTTTTGAAATATAAAACTGTAGTTGCAGGTGGAATGAAGGTAAGCTATATTTCTTAAGCCCAAGTGTTTGGCAATTTATGCATTGGTTAACCTGATAGGTATGCCAGGTACACATCTACATTCAGGTGAGCTGGATAGTTATCCCGAAGTTTGTAGAATACTAATTAAAAACCATCATCTTGTTTGCAGCTTGCTTCCTTCTACACCCACATAAGTTTTGAATAATACTTGCAAGCACAATGAATACAACTTAGTTGTTGTTAGTGGCTCTACTTAAACTGTTTGCATTACTAGTTGCTATTAAGCACATGGCTTGGAATACAAATGTCAGACATTTAAATCAAAGTTATTTTGCCAGTTGTAGTAATGGCTCATCTAAATTGTTGTGTTCTTATGATAACTGGAGAGCAGGTTGATCAAATCTATATTATAAAAGAAGATTCTTTTGCCATCACACACTGTCTGTATTTGTCTATGCATGTGCGTATATTATCTCTATGTGTATGTCTGTGTCATACATGAGTGACTTACAGGTGTTTGTGCCATTTAACACACACGCACACACATAATTTGACTGGGTTTGAAATAAGACATTAGAATAATACATTCCCCACCCATTCAGTCTAGACAAGTCCTAACCTAGGCTGAGCAATAAAATTAGAAAGTTGGATACAAAAGAAAAATGTTTTAAACCTAATAAAATCAGATCATTATAGAATTTTATTGAAGTTTTCAGAAATTATTTGGTAAAAAATAAATATTTTTTTTTGTTGATATTTTGTAGGAATATTTATAGGTTGGTTATTGAATTAAAATATAGATATTCACAATACATGCAAATGTACATACACAATTTAAATGAAACTGAAATGGATATTTGTATCAAGGGAGAGTTGGGGGTGGGTATTACTTTTTTTGTCTGGCAACAACTCCTGGATAACAGGAAAAGAGTATAAGCTGAAATGCACTTTGAACTCATTTTTATGACTCCTGTATTGAAACCGAATATATTTTCAAATAAATGCATGGAGAAGCAATTTAGATTTGAAATTTGATCATTCTCAAATTAGTAACTGTTAAAAAACAAACAAACATGCAGCTACTTTAACCTCTACAGTGAAAAACTTATAGTTCATTAACATTGAAAGATGAGCTTTCTAAGATTTCTTTTTTGTAATTGGCTTCCAGTGAATAATAATAATAATAATAATAATAATAATAAAAGCATCTTACCTTGGCAAGGCATCATGATACACAATGTTTGGTGGGACTCCAAGGAAAAAGAAATTCTTTGAAATAAAGTATGGTCTTATTGAATTAATGTTTCATGATCCATCAGTTCATAAAAATCAGTTTTTTTAATTTTTTTTAATCATTTTACCAAACAAGGCAATAAAGCCACTAAGATGCAAGGGATTACTGAGTGTTAGAGAATATGAAAAAAAAAACACTATTAAGAAGGGAGAACAATAAAAGAATAAGTATTAAGAAGATGGAAGATAACTGACATTGCATTTAGATTTTTGAAGATCAAAGTTGACTGGAAAGCAAGAGATTTCCACAAGCAAGAAGTGCAATAGAAGAAACTGTTAGCATAGAACTTACGGTTCCTTCTAACCATTTCAACTCTAAAATAATGAGACCTTGCCACCAATCTAGTACTGTGATTAAATTCATAAAATCTAGTGATCATAGAGGAAAGTTCATCAGAACAATTACTAAGTATTTATAGAAAAGTACAGGGAAGCTATGTTACAGTAGTGGGAAAGTGATTGAAGCCGAGATGCCAGGTCAGGACCAATAACATTGTAGATTCTTCTTTGGATTTTATCTAGAATATATATAGCAGGAGCACGAGTCCAGATGTCGTAGCAATATTCAAAGCAAGGGTAAATAGTAGACTTATAAATATTTTAGGTTCTCGCAAGAAAAATTGTTTAGCACAATGCATTTAACCAACTTTCCTAGCTGCAGACTTAGCAGGTGATTCAATATAATCTTTTTACTTCATGTCAGCAGAAAACATTAGTTCGAGAAGGCGCAATGAGTAGCTCTCCTAGAGATTAGTATCAGCCATGCTAATGGAAGGTAAAAGGTTTCCTCATCATTGTTGTTTTTATCAAAATTCTTCTTCAAAATAAGGTAGACGGGGACATGTATTATACACTACAAATGGCATTTGCATGTCAATTGTCTATTCTTGCTGGGGATTATAAAATAGCTAAAGGTTACAACTATGATTATAGGAGAATATGATGAAATATCAATTTATATATATCAGAACAATGTAATGTTGCTATATGTCATAACAAAATGAGAAGAAAAACATGTTTCATTCTCTAAAAGGACTTCATCAGACTAAAGTAATGTTTGTATTGATGGAATTATTTATATATTGGGGAAAGAGGAAATATAAGCATAAATGCAGTTTATAATTATGCACAAAGGGGAAACACTGAAAATGTAGTGCTGATAAATTTTTTAAATTTCTGGCATTTGATTTTAGATAAATTGAATGCCAGAAATTTTAAAATTTGTCAACAGTAACAAAAACATTTTGAACCAAATGAGCTGTGCATTCTGACATCAGATTTTAAAATTTAACTCCCCTACATCTTCAGCGTTTCCCCTCTATGTTTGTTTATATTTCCCATCAACACACACACACACACACACACACGTATATATATATATATATATATATATATATATATATATATATATATATAAGGAACAGGACAATTCTGAATTAAAGACTGTATGTGTCTCTGGTGTGGCACTGTAACTAAGGTCCACTCAATGTAGTTGCATATAAACTACAAATTCACTCTGTGGGTGCTAAAGAAACACAAATGGGCCTGAGAAAATGTGTACTTGGAACCATCAAACCATGCTGGACATAAGTGCATTTGCAGTGTATTTTCAAGTTGAAACACCACTGATGATGATGAACCACCTCTTTTTTTGTTTTGAGTGGTAATCCTGTGAGGGTTCAAATCTCCATTATAGAATTAAACAGGTGAGTGTTTAATTAACTGACCTACCATTTGCTTTAAAAAAAAATCATTGTAAGATTAGGTTTTGTCTATAGGTAGCAATAGTAGTTATCTTATCAACAATGGGAGAATATGATATATAAACTCTTTATATCAGATTAATGGTGGGTAATTGAATGACAAAATAAATTTAAGCATCCCTACATTTTTAGAATTCCTTATGTATAATTATAACCAATGTTTGTATTTCATTCCCTCCCCCCTACATATATATGATGCCATCAATAAAAACATTTAGTCTGAAGAAGTCCCTTTAGAGGATGAAATGTCTCACAGGATTTTTTTTTTTAATTCCATTTTGTTATGCAATTATCCTTTATTGACAATGTAAATAAGGTAACTCATGGAGGCTGCATAAATCTGAAGCCAGAAAATTATAAAAATATATTTTTCCTATCTGTCTATGTATCTGAGATGATGTATTATAACTATTTACACTATTTACATTGTTTGGACTATTGTTCTCATCTGTATTGTCATATTCACGATGTTTGGCTGTTGTATGCTCCAGCCTTTTTCAGATGATATGTATTGGAATTTTGAACTGAACCGAGTTACTAAAGGGAAATAACTGAAACTGAGATATCCAGAAAAGGCACGGCATGTGGAACTAGAACAATCTTCCCCAGTGGATGAAATAAAAGGTTTGGTTTTAAATTCCAACGTATATCACCTGAAGAAGGCCAGAGTATACAACGGCCGTAACGTTATGAATATGACAAGAAAGATGAGGACTATAGTCCAAACAATGTAAATAATGAAAATATTTTTCCTATGTAGTTTTATTTGCTTTGACTAAATTTGACCATTGTTACTGGAAGTTTTACAAAATTTTCATGAAAATAAACCTTTAAAATGGAAGTGAGTAAAGATTCCATTTACTTTACACGTTCTGTAGCCTGTGGCATTTTCAGGGTCATGTTACATATATCTGTTAAATTTTGTCTAATTCAGTTCTGCTTTGTATGTGTATATAATGTTTTAACAGACATTGAAAATTATCAATAGAGGTATGCCTTAGGATCAATACTGAAGCTTTGTTTCACTATGCTTGGATAAAAGTAACCAAGATTGTTTACTAGTAGAATAAGAACTCGGTTGCACTAACACACTTTAAATTATATAAAGTATATTTTCTTTCAAAGCTTTTCTTTTCTCTTTGGGACAACATGAGTGGAAAACTTTCTGCATCATCTTGTCTTTGGGGTAAAGTGTTTTCAGTTTTTGTAGGCAAATACAAAGAATAAAAGCAGAAGAAAAAGAAAACACACCATCTGGGCCTCTTGATTGAATTCAAGTTGACTTTCTTGATAAATCTTGGTTGCATTTTGTGGAATTTCTTTTGTCTACCTTTTGAGAGAAGGTGAATCAGTGGTTTATTTATAAACTTTTTGTCATGAGTAAACTTGTTTTTTTATTTTGTTGTTTGCACCAATCCCTGACCTTATCAATTCTTGCAGCATTTTCTTTTGTTGTTACCTGTGGAATAAATTATCTGCATTTTAGTTCTTCGGTGCCAAACATTTTAATTTGCATCAAAGATGGAGGTGGTAATAGAAATACCAGGTGGTTGTCTTGTTATTTTCTTTCATGTGTTGCCCTTTTTGTTATTTATTACTCATCTGGCAGGTAAATACACATGTATGTTTGGCATCCATGATTTCTATTATCTATCTATCATCTATCTGGGTCCATCTATCCATCTATCCCCATCTATCTATTCCATATCCATCCATCCATCCACATCTCTATATCCATCCATCCCCATCTATCCATCTATCTATCTCCATCCATCCCCATCTATCTATCCATCCATCTATCTATCTCTATTCATTATCTATCTATCCATCTATCCATCCATCTATCCATCTCCATCCATCCATCTATCTATCCATCCATCTATCCATCCATCTATCTCTATTCATTATCTATCTATCTATCTATCTCTGTTCATTATCTATCTATCTATCTATCTATCTCTATCTATTCATCCATCTATCCATCTATCTCATTCATTCATCTATCTATCTATCCAATATCCATCATTATCCCCGTCTATCTATCTATCTATCTCTGTTCATCTATCTATCTATCTATCTCTATCCATCTATCTATCTATCTCTGTTCATTATTCATCATCCATCTATCTCATTATCATCTATCTATCATCCATCCATCTGTTCTATCTCATCTATCTATCTATCTATCTATCTATCTATCTCTGTTCATCTATCATCTATCTATCTATCTATCTATCTCTCCATCATTATTCATCTATCTATCTATCTATCTATCTATCTATCTATCTCTGTTCATTATCTATCTATCTATCTATCTATCTATCTATCTATCTATCTATTCATCTATCTATCTATCTATCTTCATCTCTGTTCATCCTCTATCTATCTATCTATCTATTTATCTATCTTTGTTCATATCTCCATCCATCTATTTACACACACACACACACACACACACACATATCTATCATATATATATATATATATATATATATATATCTAGATACTTACACACATTTTGTTATCATCTATATATATATCTATATATATAGATACTTACACATTTTTTGTTAGGGCTAAACCATCTTTGTTTTATATATCCATATATATATATATATATATATATATATATATATATATATTATCTATATGCACACATCAAAAGTAATTTATCTATCTTATTATCTAATCCCTTTTATTATAAAATCTGTCCACCTGTTCACCATTAATATACTATCAAACTTCTGTTTTCTATAAGGTACTTCTATAGACAGGTTAGCATTTTTGATCAATGTGTCCATATGTTGAGAATACAGATGTGATACACATCTCTAACTGTAAAGAGCATCTAATTGAAGCTTTATCATCTATCAAAACCTTAACATATTATGATCTATCTACACATTTGGAAATATCTATATGTCTAACATATAATAGCATATCTATCTATAAATGGCTATATATCTATCTCTGTTCATTATATCTATCTATCTGTCTCTGTTATTATCTATCTATCTCTGTCTATCTATTTCATCTATCTATCTATCTATCTCTGTTCATTATCTATCTATCTATGTGTCTCTGTTCATTATCTATATCTATGTGTCTCTGTTCATTATCTATCTATCTATCTATGTGTTCTGTTTTATCTATCTATGTTATGTGTTCTGTATCTTCATATCATCTAATATATATCTTTTGTTCATTATCTATCTATCTATGTGTCTCTGTTCATTATCTATCTATCTATGTGTCTCTGTTCACATCTATCTATCTATGTGTCTCTGTTCATTATCTATCTATCTATCTATGTGTCTCTGTTCATTATCTATATCTATCTATGTGTCTCTATTATCTATATATCTATATATATATATATATATCTGTCTATCTGTTCATTATTCATTTTCTATGTGTCTCTGTTCATTAACTATCTATTGTGTTTGTTCATTATCTATATATATATATATATATATATATATATATCTATCTATATATATATTATATCTATCTATCTATGTGTCTCTGTTCAAATATCTATCTATCTATGTAATCTTTAAATTCTAACTATGTGTCTCTGTTCTTATCTATCTATCCCTCTTTCTATTATGTCTCTGTTCAATCCAATCTATGTCTGTTTCCATCTATCTATCCTGTTCACCATTCCTATCTAATATCTCTGTTCATCTTTTTTCATCTAGGTCTCTGTTCATATATCTATCTATGTGTCTCTGTTCATTATCTATCAAATCTATGTGTCTCTGTAATCTATCTATCTATGTGTCTTTCTATCCATCTATCTATGTCTCTGTTCATTATCTATCTATCTATCTGTCTCCCTGTTCATTATCTATCTATCTATCTGTCTCTGTTCATTATCTATCTATCCATCTGTCATTATCATATCTATCTGTGTCTCTGTTCATATCTATCATGTGTCTCTGTTCATTTATCTATCTATCTCTGTGTCTATCCTGTTATCCTATCTATCTATGTGTCTCTGTTCATCTATCTATCTATCTATGTGTCTCTGTTCATTATCTATCTATCTAGAAAAACTGTTCATTATCTATCTATCATGTGTCTCTGTTCATTATCTATCTATCTATGTGTCTCTGTTCATTATCTATCTATCTATGTGTCTCTGTTCATTATCTATCTATCTATGTGTCTCTGTTCATTATCTATCTATCTTGTTCAAATCTATCTATGTGTCTCTGTTCATTATCTATCTATCTATGTGTCTCTGTCTATCATCTATCTATCTATCATTCATCTATGTGTCTCTGTTCATTATCTATCTGTGTCTCTGTTCATATGTGTCTCTGTTCATTATCTATCTATCATCTATGTGTCTCTGTTCATCTATCTATCTATCAAAATCTATCTATGTGTCTCTGTTCATTATCTATCTATCTATGTGTCTCTGTTCATTATCTATCTATCTATGTGTCTCTGTTCATTATCTATCTATCTATCTATGTGTCTCTGTTCATTATCTATCTATCTATCTATGTGTCTCTGTTCATTATCTATCTATCTATCTATGTGTCTCTGTTCATTATCTATCTATCTATGTGTCTCTGTTCATTATCTATCTATCTATCTATGTGTCTCTGTTCATTATCTATCTATCTATGTGTCTCTGTTCATTATCTATCTATCTATGTGTCTCTGTTCATTATCTATCTATCTATGTGTCTCTGTTCATTATCTATCTATCTATGTGTCTCTGTTCATTATCTATCTATCTATGTGTCTCTGTTCATTATCTATCTATGTGTCTCTGTTCATTATCTATCTATCTATGTGTCTCTGTTCATTATCTATCTATCTATGTGTCTCTGTTCATTATCTATCTATCTATGTGTCTCTGTTCATTATCTATCTATCTATGTGTCTCTGTCTCTGTTCATTATTCTATCTATCTATGTGTCTCTGTCCTATGTGTCTGTTCATCTATCTCTCTGTTCATTATCTATCTATCTGTCTCTGTTCATTATCTATCTAACTGTCTCTGTTCATTATCTATCTATCTATCTATCTATCTGTCTCTGTTCATTATCTATCTATCTATCTATCTATCTATCTCTGTTCATTATCTATCTCTGTTCATATCTAATCTATTAACTGAAAGTGATTGGAACAGTTGATTATTTGGACAATTTCTACACACCCACACCAAGTTCCAAAAAGAAATCTAAAGAAAAATTCAATAAAAAACTTATCAGAAGTCAGATATTTTAATTTATGTTTAGGTTCTTATAATGTTTCACCATTCTTGGCAGATCTTCTATTATCGCAGTATGGGATGATATTTAATAATAAAAGTGATAGAAACATAACCAAAATAAACTAAATGAAATCAGCCAGACTATATACCTAAAAGATATATTTAAAAAAAAAGAAAGAAAATTTTAAATTTCTCAGTATCCCCTTTTCTTCATGCACATGTATAGTCACATCAATGTAAACTTCACGTTAAGCTGATGAAATTCTAAAGGATGAAACATAAATTTCCCTAAAATTGTTCTTTTGATATATAAGAAATTATATATAATTTTTCCATATATGCTATAATGCATAGACTAAGAATTGCTGGAAAGTTCTTATATAGAAGTCTGTATTCTGATGATTATTTAAGTAATTTTTGGCAGGAGTCCAGGAACAGAGAAATCACCAACCACCTACAAGACTTTGTATTGCCAAGACTCATTGATGTGAGAAGAGAATGGAGACGTTTTTGCTAAATACAAGCCAACAGGAGAGATGGGCTATCATGGCACAAATTGCAAGTCACTTTAATTAACATCAAAGAAAGAACAACACATTACATTGATCCCTGTTATATATAAAGCTGTATAGCTGGAGGGCAGTCAGTCTGCCCCTACTAACCAATGATCATAACCAAAAGTGTCTTTATCCCATGTATATTATTTTCTCTTGAATAATGTTCCCTTATAATAAGCTGGTTGGTATGTGGGTATAGTTATCATTGAAAAGTGAGATCAGAATGCATTGTGGGAAAACCACATGCTGTTGAATGTTGTGTGATGGTTTGACCATTGTTCTACTGAGAAACACGTGGCCTTATCATTTATATAGGAAGTACTTTGTTACTTACATCCAACCTCAATATTACTGAAGACCAGGTACACCTCTTCATGGTAAAAGTCTTCTATAGAACTTGCATATTTCAGCAGGGCAATGCACCCTGACAGACTGCACAAAAATGTTTTTAACAACAAGAATCCACTGTATTGTCCTGTCCAGCAAACTCTCCAGATTTTAGTCCCATTGAGTACTTAAAGAGATATGTTTATTCTGTAGAACATCTGCCATATAACTTGTAGTATTAAAAGTATTTATGTTAATATCCAGGCACTAGATCCAACAGTGATCCTATACTGTCTACAGCTGATTTGGTAACAGTTCTTTTGGTTTTGTGGATAGATGGAGGGCCAACGTCTTATTAGGCTGCCAGGAAAGCATATGTCTGCTGTTAGGAAAGTTAGTTCACTGTTGTGGTAAACAATTTTTCTCACCAGAATCTATCTTATAATTTATAAGTTTACTATTTGTCCATACATTGAATTTTTCTGCAATATCTGGTCTGGTGCTTCTGCTATATATTTTAAAGATTCTTGATAAAATCCAAAGAAGTATCTGCTATGTTATCAGTCTTAACCTGGCATCTTGGCTTCAGTCACTTTCTCACCACTGTACTGTAGCTTCCCTGTGTCTTTTCTATAAACACTTTCATGGTCATTGTTTTGATGAGCTCTCCTCTTTGGTACCTAGATTTTACAAATTTAAGAACAGTACTAGATTGTCAGGAAGGTATTATCATTTTAGAGTTGAAGTGATGTAACTGTAAGTTCTATGCTAACAGTTTCTTCTATTGTACTTCTTGCCTGTGGAACTCTTTTCCAGCTTCGTGCTTTCCAGTCAACTTTGATCTATAAAAATTTAAATGCAGTGTCAATCGTTACCTTCTGTCTTCTTAATTCCTGTTCTGTTATTGTTCTTTCTCCTTAATAATGGTTTTCTTTTTCTCATATTTTCTAACACTCAATAGCCTTTTGAGTTTTAGTGACTTTATTCCCTTGCTTGATGTGAAATGATTAAAAGAAAAAAAGGTAGATGGTCATGTTTTGGTTCATCATTGTGTACATGTAGACACACGTACACCAAAATGGTTGCTGAAAAATTCTTATCAAATCCACTTCCTCATATCAGTATTCAATGACCAGACATCAGTGTTTTTTTTTTTTTTTTTTCTTTCTTTAAGGGTTTAAGAAACGTGAAGAAATATGTGTCAAGAGTATTTAGTTTTCGGGGTAGGGAAATAAAGAATATCCAGAAAATCTTGCATGTCTCATTTGGCTCAAGGTCATTGTTCTTGATTGGGCTGAGAACTTTTTGGTACTTTCTCTAGTGGGGAAAAGTGACTAGTTAATTTGTTTTTTCTGCATATTCACACACAAATGTATTTCAGTCTTTGCTCTTTTGTGCTTATTGCTGGGAATGTCTATACAGAAATTACAAATGTCCCTACCCTGTGGCTTATTTAGCAGAAGCATTAATATTTATAATTATATAATCAGGTCGTGTAGCCTTTAAAAGGTTTACTTATGCTAATTGTGACCCAACTGTTTTGCTGATCAGATAAAGTTTGTTAGGGCATCTTTCATGACTTGTTGCTGATATTATCTGTTCATCATGAATTATTCAAGTCAATTTGCTATGTATAACTTTTTGAAATCATTGGTCTACTTGTTTTCATTATCAGTTTTTCATTATGAAATTGTTCCGACTCTATGTCAGGAGCCTCTGCAATGGCTTAAGTTGTTTATCATATTATTTTTTGTACCTAGTGAGTTTAACTTTTGTTGATGTTTTATTCTTGAATTGTTTAGATATAAAAATATATACAAACACTCCTTTCTTAATGACCAGGTCCTGTTTCAACAACCTGATTACTAAATGAGAAGTTGTATCTGACCTTTATTTTAGGCATACTGTGTGTAATAGGCTTTGAGCTAATCAGCTTCAGTTCATGTTAATGACACTTTTGTACCATCTTTAACATTTCCAATTTATTTCTAAATAATTTTTGTCTGAATTTTTGAGATGAGGAGTTATCATTATTACACTATTCATATTCCTACAGGACAATGGCCTAGTGGATAAAAGTGATTGTCTGTGAGTTTGGTGACATAGTGGTTGTGACTTCAATCTCTGTGTCAGGAAATGGGTGAGCAATAACTGAACAGTACTAAATAAAAACAAGACAATATCCCTAGACATGGGCAGTGAAATGAGAACAGTCTACCCCCATAGATTAAATAAAGGGTTCAGTTCGAAATTCCCTGTAGGTTACACAGATCAATATACAGCTGAGAAAGGTCGGAGGGTACAACAACCAAAACATGATAAAAAAAAAATGATGAGAAAAGAGAAAAAGATGAGGACAATAATGTAAATAATTATTTTTAAATGTTTATTCAAAATGGTAGTGAACATAATTTGAAAATCAGTTCAATACAATGATTGTAAATTTTTATTTATTTTTCACTTTATTCGTTTTATTTATTTTTATTTATTTTGGAGAAAACAAAAATACAATACCAGATGGTTGATTTTTTTTTTTTTGAGATTTCAATTTTGATAGATGAAGAAGTTTGTTAAACAGATACATTGTTAAATATGGAGTGGCTGCAAATTTTTCTGGCAGTCATTCTTTTTGTTGGTATTAAGGTTGAAATATTTTTTGGGTAACCAATAAAAACTGCTTTTTACCAATGTAAGTGCTACTGTATATGGTGATTTACTAAGCATATTTTAGTTGTGGCACAAGACCATATGTAAAGTGCATCCAGTGAGGATCAAACTCACTTCTTTTTCTTTATGTGCTGTGTCCTCTCAGGATGTAGGTGATCATGACTTTCCACAATTTCCAGACCTTTGTAGCTCTTATTAAATTTTGTCTTTTCATTTCATCTGATCTGCTATCTATTTACTTTAGTTCATGTTTTTAACCGTTACACAAC